CCGCCCCTGGGATGGCCCCCCCCGGGATGTCCCCCCCGCCCCGGGATACACATGCATCCCAGTCCCAAGGAAGCGAGGCCGAAGCTGCTGCTCCTGCCTCAGTTTCCCTTCCCCCCCCCTCCCTCAGGAGCTGCAGTTAGTGCTTGGTCTGGGGGGTGGGGGGAAGCTGGGTGTGGGCAGCTGAGCTGTGGGTGCTGGAGCAAACAGAGGGGCCAGGAAGGGGGGAATGGTTGGGAGAGGTGGGAAGGTTTGTGCCCTCCCCCCCCAGGAATCACAGCTCAGCTTCGGGTGAGCCCAGGGTGTGTGTGTCCCGGGGGGGGCCCTGGTACTGGGTGCAAGGAGGGTTTTGGGGTGGCCCAAGCAGCCTCCCCTTGGCTTGGCCGAGATGTTTGGTCTCAAGCAGAAGATTTGAGGCTCCTGGTTTTAAGGTGGAAGTGGGAGGAGCCTTCCAAGGGGGGGAAGATATCAGCAGAAGGTGACAAGGTGACAGGTGTCATGTGCAGAGCCCTGATCATGCATGTAGAGCTCTTGGCCGTGTATTGTTGCCATGTATGTGCATCTGGAGGGACAGCAGGTTGCAAAACATCCTGTGCAGGGTGTGGGGGGTGTCAGGGTGTGGGGGGTGTCAGAGTGTGGGGGTGTCAGGGTGTGGGGGTGTCAGCATGGACCCACACACGGTGCTGCTTTTCCCTGGCTTCCTTCTGCTACCAGAGCATGACTGAGCCAGACCTTTGCTGGATCATCATGATGCCCAGCGATGTGACAAAGGCTCAGGGGGTTGGGGACCAACTGTCCTCCCCTCTGTGACATCCAGACTGCCAAATAGAAGGAGGTTAATCAGAACTGGGGGCATTTGCCACGCGATGGAGCTGGTCGGGTTGTGGCCGCTTGGCATTTCCATCGCTTCCGCCTTTCACATCCCCTTTTTCAGCCCGAGGGGCCACCTGCCTCTGCCCTCCCCAGCCAGCCAAAACCAGAAGTGGGACCTTGACGAGACAGTTGGTCATTAAAAATAGCTGCTTTGACCTGTCTCTGGCTGCCAGGAACCGGGAACAGCTCTTGCCTGCAGTGGGAGATGCAGAATCGATGGGGCGACGGCGGCTGCGGCCCCTGGCACAGCCCAGCCCTGCCCGCCCTTCCCTTCCCCAAACTCATTCCTTCTTTTTCTTCCCTAGTTGCCGAAGCAGCAACAGGAAGAGCTTAGTGGTGGGCACCCCTTCTCCCACCCTCTCACGACCTCTCTCCCCGCTCTCTGTGCCAACAGGTGAGGATTATCCCAAGAGATGGGTTGAGCATCTCCCAAAATGATTTTTGAAGCGTAATCCTTCTCCTTCTGCAGCACCTTATTGGGAGCAACAAGCTGCCTTCTGGCCTTTTCCAGGCTGGAATAGCTTGGGAAATGATTTACTCCCGCTTTCCCTGGCAGGAGCTTCCTGGGGTGGGTTTTGGGGTGACTTTTCCCCCTTTTTCCCTGCAGCTGGGAGCAGCCCCTTGGACAGCCCACGCAACTTCTCTGCCAGCACCTCCGTCAACTTCCCCTTTGCTCGCAGGTCAGATCCTGTCCCCGCCTCCTGAGCCATTAATATTCCCTAATAATTAATAACCTACCCACTGGGACTGTTCTGTTGATCTCACATGATTTATTTTGCTTTTTGTTTGCTTTTTCTCTTGTTTCCACCCTGATTTTCACTCTGCCCTGACCGGTGTCTCCCACCACCCCAGCCATGCTCCTCGGACTGACAGGCAAGTACCAGGAATGGGCCAGGGTTGCATCCCAGGAAACCAGTTCCTCCAGCCCTTTCTTTGTGTGCATCCCCGGGGTGGGAAATTTTGTTCTGGGAATGGGTTCCCTGCAGCTCTGGGAGCAGCAATATCCCTGTCCCCATCACACCATCCCCAGCCACGAGCTCAGCCCCGCTCCGAGCGTTCCCGACGGATGCTTGGCAGACACCTAGGAATGGATCCTGCTTCCCCTCCCCGGCTCCAGACACCAAAATCCTGTTGAACTAATTAATTAATTGCACGCATGGGGGCGATGGCTGAGTTTAACCCATCGATCATCACATGGAAAAAAGCTGGAGGCTTCCAGATGGTTTTCAGCAAGGCCAGGGCTTTCGGAGCCTTCCGGCAGCACGTGGTGGTGCCGGTGCTGGGTCTGGCACCAGGCCAGCTCCTGCTGTCCTTGGATCCACACAGGAAGTGGCAGTGGGAGGTTGAAGGGCCTTGTCTTGACCTGGATGTTGCCCCAGCCATTAGAAAGGTCTCCAAGAGGAAACATTCACCCCCCTGTCCAAGCTATCACCTTCCTGTTTATAGCCGGGCTCTGCTGGCTCTGGATGAGCCTTGAGGAATCCCAGGTTTTCCCAGAACCCAGAGGCTGAATTTTGCTCTCATTAAAACCCAGATTTTCACAGGGTTTGTTTTTTTTTACCTCTTCTGAAAGGGCTTCACCACCCGGGCCCTTTGCAGGGACCCCACTCACTGTCACTGTCCCCAGGGTGGCCACACAGCCTCCCTCACCCAAACCCTTCTGATCTCACCCCGTTTCGGTGCATTCCAAAAAGAGGTTTCAGGGCTTTATTATCCAAACCCAACTCATGTCCTCTTCCCTATCCTTATCTCTCTGACATTGATTATTTGCATTCAGATGTGGCATTTTTTTCCTGTCTGTGATGGGCACATTTGCACTTGCAGGGCTGATGGCAGAAGGTGGTCACTGGCTTCACTCCCCTCCTCTGGCTATGGGACCAACACCCCCAGCTCCACTGTCTCGGTAACGTTTGTTCTCTCCTGGCAGCAGGCGAGAAGAACCCCAAAAATCCCTCAGGTTGTTGGTGAAATGTCTCCCCAGACCCTTGGTGTGGGGTTCTGGGCAGCCCCTTGGTTCCTGGGGGATGTGTGAGCTGTGTCCTGCTTCCCAAAAGTGCCTGTAAAAAGTCAGAGAGGTCAGGGAATGGTTTATGATGTCCCTGGGTGTCACAGCATCCCTAGGTGTTAAAGTGTCCCTGGGTGCCACAGCATCCCTGGGTGTCACAGCATCCCTAGGTGTCACAAAATCCCTGGATGTCACAGGATCCCTAGGAGTCACAGGATTCCCAGGCATCACAGCATCCCTGGGTGTCCCTGGAAGTCACAGGATGCCTAGGCATTACAGGACCCCTGGGTGTCACAGGATTTCCAGGTATGACAGGATTCCCAGGCATCACAGCATCCCTGGGTGTCCCAGTGTCCCTGGAAGTCACAGCACCCCTGGGCACAGCCCACGCTTCCCATCGGTGTTTCCAGCCTTCTACAAGTCTCCAAGGAACATCCTCCTGCCGGGCTTGGGCATTTCCACCACTCCCCTTGCTGGGAAGCCCTGGATCCGCATCCTGATCTCCACCATCCCTCCTTCTTTCCAGTCGTCCTCGTCCTCCCAGGAGCGCCTGCACCAGCTCCCGTACCAGCCCACGCCCGACGAGCTGCACTTCCTTTCCAAGCATTTCCGCAGCACCGAGAGCGTCCCGGACGAGGAGGGTCGGCGCTCACCCTGCCTGCGCCCACGCTCCCGCAGCCTCAGGTGGTGCAGCTGGGGTGGGCACCAGCACACCCAGCACATCCCTCTGCTGGGATGGCCTGGGACTCCTAAGCTCTGTCCCGAGGTGTTGATCCCCATGTAAGGGCAGGGAGGGGTGTGGTGAGGGCTTTTGAGTGGATGGAGGAGATTGAGGTTGGATGTGAGGAGGGAATTGTGGAGTGTGAGGGTGGTGAGAGCCTGGCCCAGGTTGCCCAGGGAAGCTGTGGCTGCCCCATCCCTGGCAGTGTTGAAGGGCAGGTTGGATGGGGCTTGGAGCAGCCTGGGCTGGTGGGAGGTGCCCCTGCCCATGCAGGGGGTTGGAACTTGATGATTTTGAAGTTCTCTCCCAACCCAAACCTTTCCATTATTCTATTTGCATAAATGTAAATGACTTGGCCTTTGTAACATGACCGGTTTCCTCCCTCCACAGCCCTGGACGGACGAGCGGAACATTTGATAACGAGGTTGTGATGATGAACCATGTCTACAAGGAGAGGTTCCCCAAGGTAACTGCTGGGACTGGGGCGACAAGCACGTTAGTGCCTCCATGGCCTCCTGACACTGTCTTCTCCAGAACAACCTCCTCTCCATGCTGGAATATAGAATGTGTGGGTAGATACCAGGGGGTGTTGGAGATGTGGTAATGAACTGGGGAGGCAGGGACCTGTGGGTCTCCATCATCACCCATGCAAGCAGAAGTCTATGGAGACTCGTGGCCCTTTTCCAGCCTGTTGGAAGCTGGGTCCCAAATGGGGCCATGAGGTGCACATGGATATGGGAGCTGCAGGAGGTGGTAGCATGAGAGCCCAGCTGGACAAACCCAAGGTGTGATATGGGAACGCATGTTCCTGGGCATCACCATCTGTTCTGCCTTGCAGGCCACAGCCCAGATGGAAGAACGTCTGCAGGACACCATCACTAACTTCTCCCCAAGCAGCACTCTGCCACTGGCAGATGGGGTGCTGGGCTTCATCCACCACCAGATCATCGAGCTGGCCCGGGACTGCCTGGCCAAGTCCCAGGGGGCTCTCATCACCTCCCGCTACTTCATGGAGCTGCAGGAGAAACTTGAGAAGATGCTCAGAGATGTGAGTACAGGGGCCATTCCCTGGCCAGTGTCATCTCCTGAGGCCACCGGTTGACTCCTGGTTTCTCTCCCCTCTCTGGCAGGCTCAGGAGCGTTCGGAGAGCGAGGAGGTGAAGTTCATTGACCAACTGGTGAGGAAGCTGCTGATCATCATCTCCCGTCCTGCTCGTCTTCTGGAGTGTCTGGTAAGACATGGCAGCTCCTGGTGTGTCTTGTCCTTCACGGTCCACACCTTTCACGGTGGGCATGGACTATGAAAGACATCTCACCTGGCCTGTTCCACCATGGGATCTGTTGCTCCTTGTCATCCTGGCTGGGCTACAGCAAGGAGCTAAGGAAGCTTCCATCTCCTGCAAGCATCCAGAGCCTGTCCCCAGTTACAGATGTCACCTGCAAGGCTTAGAGGAGAGTCTTAACTCTGCCAGGTTTTCACTCCTCAACTCTGCTTGCTTTTCCCATCCAGGAGTTTGACCCAGAGGAGTTCTACCACCTCCTGGAAGCTGCAGAAGGACATGCCAAAGTTGGCCAAGGAATAAAGACCGATATTCCCCGATACATTATCAGCCAACTGGGGCTCGTCAAGGATCCATTGGAGGGTAGGGAAGCTCTTGGGTTGGTGGCCTCCAAAGCCTGCAGCAGCATCTGGACTCCCAGTGTGGCCACTGGCGAGCATGAAAGAGCACTGGGAGGTGGCAGAAGGACCAGTAGGGCTGAACGTGTCATGGGGTGGGTCACAGCAGGACCAGGACAATGTCCAAGTCTCCCAGCCAGCCCCACATCTCTCATTATTGCTCCCAACACGTTCAGCAAAGCAGATTAAGCTCAAGAACGCTTAATCCAGAGGAAGCCATGACCTTGGGGGTGGGGGGACATAATCCCTGAGGAACACGGGAATGACTACAGAAAAAAGAGAATTATATAAATGTTTGTCCTCGTGTTGAACCTCTTAATGCCATGACCTGAATTTCTCTGTACGATAGTTTGAGCAAAGCCTGGGGCTAAATCTTGGTGGGATCTCCAAGTTTGGAGGGGAAGGGGTTGGTGGGGGGTTGTTTTGGTGGTGCTTGAAGATGAAGAAGGTGAAAACCATCCCTGTCTTCTGCAGAAATGGTCCACCTGGATCACTTTGACAGTGGGAACACCATCACGCCGGAGAACGATGATACCTGTGATGTGAGTATGGTCCTACCTGCATGTCCCACCTGCTGCCTCCAACTTTGTCCCACCTCACCCCACAACAAAGCTCCCTGCAGCAGCTCCTCTGCTACCTTAGGCAGGGAGATGTTACTTCAGGTTGTCCCTGAGGGTGACTCACAGATCCCCAACTGGCCAAAGCTCAGAGTGGGCTCTTGATCTGCAGAGCATCTTGGCCTTCTGGTTTGGGGTTTGTGGCTGGAGAGGGCTCAAGGAGAGATGTCCTCTGGCAGTGAGGAGCACTCAGAGGTGATCCATGATGATGAATTCCTGCCTGCACACCAGGAAACACTAAAACCTTTCTGTGTCTTCTCCAGAGCCAGCCCTTGGCCACTGTTCCTCGGAGGAAGCCCTGCGAGGGGGACTTTGAGACCATCAAGCTGATCAGCAACGGGGCTTATGGGTGAGTTGGGAACTTCCTAACACTTGTCTCCATATATAAGCGACTCCAGAGTCCTCCCCGTGGTGCTGCATGGTCTGTGCTGCTGGTTGGAGGCCACGTTTTGAGGTCCAGCCATTTTGCTGTCTCCCAGGGCCGTGTACCTGGTGAGGCACAGGGAGACGCGGCAGCGCTTTGCCTTGAAGAAAATTAACAAGCAGAACCTCATCCTGAGGAACCAGATCCAGCAGGTATTTGTGGAGAGGGACATCCTCACCTTTGCAGAGAACCCCTTCGTGGTCAGCATGTTCTGCTCCTTCGAGACCAAGCGACACCTCTGCATGGTGATGGAGTATGTGGAAGGTGAGAACAGGATTTGGGGCTGGAGGGAGGGGGAATATCCATGTCTGAGCACCGAGGACACCACCCAGACATCTCCTGCCCTGCTTTGCTCCAGGGAGTGGAGGGAAGCATGAGGAGATGCTTTGGTGATCCTCAGTCTCCCCTTCATGAAGGTGGCCTTGATCACCTAGGAGAGTGTTAGTGGCCCATTCCCAGGGATCAGCGCTGCTCCAAGGAGGGCTGGGAGGGTCTGGCTGGGAGCCTGCTTGGCAGGAGGGCAGCGTGGTCCTTCCTGGTGACCTCCTTGCCTTCCCTGAGCTCCTCATGCTCAGGAGGCCCCATGTCCCCACAGGGGGGGATTGTGCCACCTTGCTGAAGAACATGGGCCCCCTGCCCGTTGATATGGCAAAGATGTACTTCGCCGAGACCGTCCTCGCGCTGGAGTATCTCCACAACTACGGCATCGTCCACCGGGACCTCAAACCCGACAAGTGAGGACCTGGGTCAGGTCTGAGCGAGGACAGGGGTGGGTTAGGGTGGGGATGGGAGAAGGACTGGTCCAAGCCCAGAGGAGAAGGCAGAATGAGGTTTTGGTGCCCAAAGACCTGGTTCTGTGCTGTTGCACCAGAACCAGAGGTCCTGAGGTCTGGCTAGTCCTGCCCAGGTCTTCCCAGAAGCATCATCCTGGGCCATCTGTCTTCTCTTGCAGTTTGCTCATCACCTCCATGGGCCACATCAAGCTGACAGACTTTGGTCTGTCAAAGATTGGCTTGATGAACATGACCACGAACCTCTATGAAGGGCATATGGAGAAGGACACTCGGGAGTTCATGGACAAGCAGGTGTGAGATCCTGTTCCTCTTGGCCATCACCAGGGAGTGGGGATAAGCTTAGGCCCTGTCACACAGGGTCACTGCAGAGGTGTCAGGGGCTGCTCCCCTCTCAGGTGTGTGGCACTCCGGAGTACATTGCCCCAGAAGTCATCCTCATCCAGGGCTATGGGAAGCCCGTTGACTGGTGGGCCATGGGCATCATCCTCTACGAGTTCCTGGTGGGCTGCGTCCCCTTCTTCGGAGACACCCCCGAGGAGCTCTTTGGGCAGGTCATCAGTGGTGAGTGCTGGTGGCACCTTGGCTCCATGGCTTGCTCTTCCCAGCAGTCACAGCTTGCCCTTTCCCAGTTCAGGTTTTGATGTGCTGTGGCTCCTCTTGCCCAGAAGTGACTTCTTCTGCCACCTCACATTGTGTCTAAGCTTTCAGCCACTCCAAACTCCTTTTCTTTTTCCCTTCCAGATGAAATTATGTGGCCAGAAGGGGACGAGGCTCTTCCGGCTGACGCCCAGGACCTGATCATGAGGTTGCTTAGACAATGTCCCCTGGAGCGCTTGGGCACCGGTATGTGTGGAAGCCTCCAATTCCAGCCAAGCTGACACCAAAGGGTGTCCTGCTGTGATGAGGATCCTCAGAGGGGGTTCCTAGCTCCAGTTTCCCCCCAGGAAGGCAGCACAGGGCTTCAATCCATCCTATTTTAAACCATTTTCTTAGAATCATGGAATGGTTTGGGTGTGAAGGGACCTTAAAGATCATCTAGAGCCAACCCCCTGCATGGGCAGGGACACCTCCCACCAGCCCAGGTTGCTCCAAGCCCCATCCAACCTGCCCTTCAACACTGCCAGGGATGGGGCAGCCACGGCTTCCCTGGGCAACCTGTGGATGTTACTCCACATGGAGGAGTGACCGTGCCGTTTGGGGTGGGAGCGGGAACATCCCAAAGCCTGCCCTATCCCCCTGAGCCGGGTTTCTCCTCCCGGCAGGAGGTGCACAGGAGGTGAAGCACCATTCCTTCTTCCTGCACCTGGACTGGAACGGGCTGCTGCGGCAGAAGGCCGAGTTCATCCCCCAGCTGGAGTCAGAGGACGACACCAGCTACTTCGACAGTGAGGCCAAATCCATCCCCTTCACCCCCTTCCCATCCCGGCCATTATCCCACCTGCAGGCCAGATGCTCCTGGTTTCCATCAGGAGATGACAATCTCCTGGGTGACGCTGGTCATTTTAAAAGCAAAGTTGGAATCAGACGCAGTCCTGTCCCCGGGCTGCTCGGCCTTACCCAAACCCTCATTTTCTCACCCCAAAGCTCCCCCGGGCTGTGGGGTGTGTGGCGGGCAGGGTGACAGCCGGGAACTCTGCTTGCAGCGCGCTCCGAGAGGTACCGACACCTGGATTCGGAGGATGAGGAGACCAACGACGAGGAATCATCTGTGGAGATCGGGCAGTTCTCCTCCTGCTCCCACCGCTTCAGCAAGGTGCTCCCTCCCCTCCTGCAGCCTCCAAAATGACGGGCAAGCGGTGCCAAGAACCGGTGTCTGGGATGAAGCTGGAGCACCTAGATTCCCAGATTTCTGCTCCTCACTGGAGGGCTCTTCTCCCCCGCAGGTGTACAGCAGCTCTGAATTCCTGGCTGCTCACTCCAACCTCAGCCTCTCATCCTCCGACCGGAGTCACAGCGATGACAAAGAGGAGCGATGGGACAGGCACTCGGGAGATGAGGAGAGGAACCGGCTGGTGGGCCCGGAGCCCCGGTGCGTGGTGAGGCCGGGACACGGTGCTGGTGTGGGCTTGTGCCAGCACTGTGGATTGGCAGAGGTGGCAGTGAGCCATGCCCAGGGGTGTCACAGTGGCTTGGTGCCATCCCCTCTCCCACCCGTGGTGGTCCCAAGCCCTCCTGCTCTCCCCTCACAGGCTCCGCTCCTGGACCTCCTGCAGCTCCACACCATCCACCTGCCGGCACGAGCGCAGCCGCAGCCCCGCCGCGCTGCCCAGCACCTACAGCCTGGACACCATGCCCAAGTTTGCCTTCTCCTCAGAGGATGAAAGCCCTTGCGTGGCCTCCTCCAAGCCGGAGAGGCCCAAGTTTGTCCTGGGAGACCCTGACGTGGGGACCAGTAGCGTGGTGAAGCCGTCGGCGTTATCTGGTGTGTAGGTGTGGGATGCTCCGGGGCCAGCTGGGGTCCCGCGTGGTGTGGAGTGGCTTCTCCATGTCCCCAGACTCTCCCTCCTTCCCTCTGTGCAGCTGATCTCGTCAGCCTGAACCGCATCCGCCTCCGGAGCAACAGCACTGGCACCAAAAACTCCACTCCCCGGGGCCTGGAGCCGAGCGGGAGCCGCCGGCTGAGCAGCCAGAAGGACGTGCCGGACCGGCAGCGAACCTCACCGGGCACTCGTGTCCCCAAATCCGCCTCTGTCTCAGCCCTGTCCCTCATCATCACCTCAGGTCCCTGCACTGTGTAGTTTATCCCACCAGATGGCGGTTGCTGTGTGGTTTTATCTCGGGCTGAGCTGGTATCTCCCTCTTGCAGATGACATCAGTGGTGGTGGTGCCTTGATGAGCCCCATCTCCCCCCATTCCCTCTCGTCCAACCCCTCTTCCCGTGACTCCTCACCAAGCCGAGACTCATCCCTGGCCATTGCCAGCCTCCGGCCACCCATCATCATCCACAGCTCTGGCAAGAAATACGGCTTCACCCTGCGCGCCATCCGCGTCTACATGGGGGACAGCGACGTCTACACCGTCCACCACATGGTCTGGGTAGGTGGGGAGGGACCAGCAGTGCCAGACACCGTGTTTCCCTGTGGGAAAACTCCACGTGGAAATGTAGGTTTGGATCTGGAATGAAATCTCCACCTTTCGGGTTGCAGAGCGTGGAAGAAGGGAGCCCGGCACAGGAAGCAGGGCTGAGAGCTGGTGACCTCATCACACACGTGAACGGGGAGTCGGTGCTGGGGTTGGTTCACCGGGACGTTGTGGAGCTGCTGCTGAAGGTGGGTGACCAGTGCCACGTTCCTCACCTAGCTGGTTCCCAGCATCAGGGCATCAATCTGGCTACTCCCTGGCGTCGCTTCCACT